TGCCTGACCACCTTATCGATCTCCTGAGAAATCTATATGTGGGACAGGAAGCAACAGTCAGAACTGGATATGGGAAAGGAGTACGACAAGGCTTTATATTGTCCCCTGTTTATTTAACTTATATACAGAATACATCATGCGAAAGGCTGGACTGAAGGAATCCCAAGCCAGAATTATGATTGCTAGAAGAAATATAAACAACCTCAGATATGCAGATGATACCACTCTGATTGGAGAAAGTGAGGAGGAATTAAAGAACCTCTTAATGAGGGTGAAAGAGGAGAGCGCAAAAATTGGTCTGAAGCTCAGTTTTAAAAAATCCCTAAGATCATGGCCACTGGTCCCATCACCTCCTGGGAAATAGAAGAGGATGATAGGGAGGCAGTGACAGATATTACCTTCTTGGGCTCCATGATCACTGCAGCCACAAAATTAAAAAAAAAGCCTGCTTCTTGGGAGAAAAGTGATGACAAACATAGACAGCATCTTAAAAAGCAGAGACATTACCTTGCTGACAAAGGTCCGCATAGTCAAAGCTATGGTTTTTCCAATAGCGATGTATGGAATTGAGAGCTAGACCATAAAGAAGGCTGACCACCGAATAATTGCTGCTTTTGAATTGTGGTGCTGGTGGAGGCTCTTGAGAGTCCCCTGGACTGCAAGGCTATCCCAAAGCTATCCATTTTGAAGGAAACCAACCCTGAGTGCTCCAAGGACAGATCTGAAAGCTGAGGCTCCAATACTTTGGCAATCTCCTGTGAAGAGAAAACTCCCTGGAAAAGACCCTGATGTTGGGAAAGTGTGAAGGCAAGAGGAGAAGGGGACGACAGAGGACGAGATGGTTGGACAGCGTCATCGAAGCTACCAACACGAATTTGACCCAACTCCGTGTGGAAGTGGAAGACAGTAGGGCCTGGCATGCTCTTGTCCATGGGGTCACGAAGAGTCGGACACGACTTAACAACTAAACAACAAGAAAAGATGGAAAAAGAGAGGGGGGAACCCAATCCTTTTCAATTGCAAGAGTCTGGGATTATGAGTTATCCCAAAATCATCAACAGAGCTGTTCCAGAGGGGGAGCAGTTGAAAAATCACCATATCCTCTGGGATGGAATTAAAGACAGAATCCAAATGCTGTGTGTTTATGAGCTGACATTCCAAATCAATGACAGTCCCTTAAATTAGAAGAAATTATGCCTGTAATGATATGCATCAGCACTGTAATTTGTTTCAATTACAATTGTCCAGAAGAAATCCAATTAATCTTCCAAAAATGTTTCATTCTCCTGTGCTGTAAGATGTCCCTCTTTTAAAAAACTTCTTCGCATTGCATTTAGGTGCTCCAGCTGTAAATGAAATGTAGATCATGGCAAAGGTGCTGAACAAATCAGCAACAAAATGAATAATAAGAATGGAGGTTTTCAGGCTGTGCCTTAGATCAAGAAAGCAATTTTGCAAGGCTGTGTAAAGGTTAAGGATAAGCCCAGCAGGTGACATTCACCTTCATTTTGCTGGAATTGTACGAATCGCTCTATGAAGTAAATAGAGGACTCAAGATATCATTTCATAGAGCATGGTTTTAGGTCCTCAAAAATGGAGGACATTTAGGGAAACAAAATGAAATAGAAGGTATTCATTCAACATCGTCAGATCTCTTGAAAAGTTATGGGGTGCACAGCTATCCATGGTATACAAATATCTATTACGTACACTGTCTAATGGCAAGGCTAGATTGTCATATCACCTGCTCAACCAAACAAAAATTGGCCAAGGATTGGGGCTGAGCCTTTTTTTCCGGGTGGATCTGATTCAGATTTTTTTTTGATGATTTAGATTTGAATGTAAACCATAATTTAAATCAATACCTCGCTGGGTATTTTTAAAAACCAATTACAAATGTGGATGTTTAGGCAGACCTTCCCCCCCCCAGTTAATTTCTGACTCTTTCTCTTGCTTTCTCAATTATGATTTATTTTGTTTGCTTTCCATTTTATAGAATTTTTAAATTGTGTAAAAATTCCTTTTTTATATGGTTCTTGTATTTTGTATTTTGTGTTGTAAGCCGCCTAGAGTGGTTGCAATTGACCAGATAGGTGGGGTATAAATGGAATGAATGAATGAATGAATGAATGAATGAATGAATGAATGAATGAATGAATGAATAGATTTTTTTTAAAAAAACACTGATTTTTATCCATTCTGCTTTCTTTGCATATGAACACATGAAGCTGCCCAGAGCTTAGAATTACTGTTTTCCTGGATTACACATCCCAGAATCTGTTAGCTAACATGAGGATTTTGAGCTTTATAGTGAAAAAAGAGAGAACTTTTTCCAGGTTGTAAAGCTGCCTTCAAGGCAGATTCATCTTTTTAGTGGCCCTTTTCAGGACTTACATCTGAAACCATGGAGCTCTTAGTGGGTGATAGGGACATAGAGATGCATGTGAACTCCACCTGGAAGCCTCTTGTTCAGTGCAATGGTCAACAAAGGAACGTAGAAGAATGTTGAGCTTTATGGAATCATCTTTAATTAAGAAGGAATGGAGAAGATTCTGCATATGATTCTGGATAGCCCTTAATATATTATCCTATTCAGGTATTACGCCTGAAAACATGGGTGTTGAATAGACAATGGGTATGGGAACAAATGTGTAAGCCCCATCCCATGTTTTCACCCCATCCAGCTAAGGCAGGCTGAGCATGACTACAAACTCCTTTGCAGCCCATCATTTAGAACATACAAAAGTCTAACTGACTTCTAGGTGTGAACAGAATGTAGGGGTAAATTTCACACCAATTCTAACATCCTGAATCAGGTTAGTATATTATTTGCTCTCCAAAATCTTCCCCACCTCTACTTTTTGAGATACAGTTGTGCCTCGCAAGACGAAAGCCTCGCCGGACGAAAAACTTGCAAGATGAAAGTATTTTGCGATCGTGTTGGTGACTTGCAAGACGGCTTCTTCTATGGCTGTGCTTCGCAAGATAATTTTTTGTCACAAGACCGATGCCTCGCAAGATGAAAATAATTCGTTCGTCTTGTGAGGTTTCCCACAGGAATGCATTGCAATGCATTCCTATGGGAAACTGCTTTTTGCAAGATGAAAACTTCGTAAGACAGCACTACCATCAGAACGAATTACTTTCATCTTGCGAGGCCCCACTGTACTTCTAATTAGAAGTGGAGCTGTGACTGATCTTTTACTCACTGGAAATACTCAGTGGTTTTAAGGATATTTTCCACAGTAGTTGAATTTAAGAGGCTACTGAAAACCTTGTCTCCACCTTCAACAACACTGGAGGGACCAACAACTATATAACACTCATGATGCTGCTAACCTTACAGTCCTAGGTTTAGTCAGTCATGCTGTATTAGAACCTTTGGTTCTCACACTAAACATTAGCAGTCACAAGCTACTGTATTGTACAACAAACTCTTAGCGTTGAAATATTTACTGACTGAATGATACTACTATAAGTTTCAATAACACAGAGAAACAGCTTCATAAAAATTGAGTGCCATTCAGTGTTGATAACAATCTGCAGAAGGACCCACTGTTTCATCTGTTGATAATCAAATCCTTCCGGCAATATAGTGAAATGTAAGAGCTGAAGTATTATGTCAAGGTTGGGCTTGTTTTTTGCCTTGTCTTCACAAAGTGTATAAAATTAATTGCTTTTGCTCTTCCTCAGTCTTAATGAACAAAGAGGTGAAGCTGTTCCTTGAGTACAAGTGAGAGAAATCACATAACTGATTATAAAAGAAAGAAAGAAAGAAAGAAAGAAAGAAAGAAAGAAAGAAAGAAAGAAAGAAAGAAAGAGGAAGGAAGGAAGGAAGGAAGGAAGGAAGGAAGGAAGGAAGGAAGATCTTGTTAGACACACATAACGGGATGTCAAGGAATAGGATTTTATTCTAAGCTTCTTTATGTAAACACATTTACTTTGTTTTACTACAAGAAAAGTAGTCTTGAAAGATTTTTTTCCTATGACTTCAATACTTGATCCTGGGATCCTCAACTGATCATAAAAACTAAGAGCCATAATAGTGATGTGGTCCATTTTGAACGAACTTGGTTGTTCAAAATGAACCCTCTTTTTAGGTTTGAAACTAACTGGTGATATTTATCATGCCAATGTAGTTTCAGGTGCAATCTTCCTAGTTCAACTAACCATGATGGGCAAGTGACTTCATAATGACTGCCAGAAGATGCAAGCCAGTAAAAATTCTGTATAACCAGCTAACTAGAGGACAGATAATGGATTTGTGATTGGCACAAATCCCGGCCAGTAAATACTCTGCACAGCCAATATCTGCAGAAAACAAAGAACAACTTGCTTCTGACTGGGATTCAGCAATGACTCCCAACAATGTCCACACTTTAAATAGTTATGTATAGTTTGTATTTTGGCATTATCCTGGCAGGCTGTCTAATTTTTCCAGTAGCCAGCATGCGTTTTGATCATGGGACCCAGTATAATTTAATTTTAGTTCCAAAGATGATGTGCTTCTCACAGTAAGAGAGGTGTTCTTTTTCTCTGCTAGATGGGTTTTCAGCTATGCAAGGGGTTGATTTGATTACTGTTAATACAGTCTCTTTTCTTATTGTTGCATAGGTTCTTTGCTCAAGTAAAAAATAATTTCAGTGTTTTAAAACAAGAATGCTGTAGTAATCCTTCTGCGTCAGCTTTTGACAGAGATACTGTCTGCCAGCAGGGACAGTTATCTTGAACCTTCTTTGTGTTTGAATTTTTAAATAGTAAAATGGCATAAGATTAAAAAAATTTAATTAAAAACAAACTTCTAGTAAAATTAAATTTCAATGCTGCTTCTGTTATCAAAGGAACAGAGTTCATTTATCCATTAGTATTGCTGTAGCTAAAAGTCCATAATTTCTTCAAACATGGTATGTCAGTGTATGCATATAAACTGTGTTAATCAAGGCATTTGCAAAGCCATTACTTTACTGATGGTGTACCAGTGCCTAGCTAAAGCTGCCTTGCCATGCCTAGCATTTCTATCATTAAAAGTATTATAGCAGCTGGAAATGTATAACCAACTGAACTGAACTGAATAGAATAACTACACAATAAAATAACTACACAATGCATATGAGCAACAGCCTCTGTATTTACCTTCTTATGCCCAACAGTTATGTTTGTTTGATTCTGCTGTTTGATTCTTTTTGCTTTACATTCTGTCAACAGAACAACAACAAAGCAGCAACTAGATGCAAAGCTGGATGGAGCGAAGAAAGCTGGACTGACTTCATGAGACTGTGAACAGACAGGGATGTGCAGATGGAAACTTTGGTATTTCTTTCATTTTGAGGTCTTTCAGGTGAAATCATCTCTCTCTTTCAGTTTCCCCCCCTTTTCCTTTTTTGCTTCCCATGCAGGTTTCTGGTGCTAGACCCAATTCAGCCCCACCCTCAAAACTAGTCCCAAAAAAGCAGGTACCACCCTCAAAACTAGTCCCAAAAAAGCAGGAACAGGCAACAGACAATCATCCTGTGCAAAAGTGGGCAGCAACAACAATACACAAGAAAGAAAAACCAACCAACCACAGACCTATGCAGGCACTACTAGTACTTTAAAGTTCAAATTTATCTCACCATCCTCATCAGTTCATCAGTAGGAAACAACGCAGATGAGAAAGAGAAATGATCATCATGGTCATTATGCAGGCACTACTAGTACTTTAAAGTTCTAATTTATCTCACCATCCTCATCATCCTCATCAGTTCATTAGCAGGAAACAACACAGATGAGAAAGAGAAATTATCATCATGGTCATAATAAATCTCTCTCTCTCTCTCTCTCTCTCAGGGCAACGTTATCAAACCCTCCGAACCCAAATCCCCCATACAGCTCTTCCTTCTACCACTCTGACAGCTTAAGTCCTGTAACAAAGACGATAGTCCAGGTGAACGACAGGCGGCCAGACATTCCAGGCACTTGAGGCAACAGCAAGGGATGTAGGGTAAAATCCCTTTAAACATCAATAAAAATTAAAGTCTCAAAAAAGCAGGCTACTGTGAATATGAAATAAAAAAGAAATGTGTAATTTTCATAACTTTCTCTTTCAGGTCTCTGAATCTTTCATATTTTAGAGGCTCTTTATCATGAAGTCATGAAAGACTCCAGGAAGGGCCTCTTTCATGTTTCTCTATTTGAGTGAAGTCAAAAGCTCCCTCCCTGTATATATAGTCTTCTCTATCTGCTCTGCATTACCTACAACAGGATACACATTAAACTCCTCCAACACACATCCTCGTTCTATAGCTTTTACAGCTTATCAATGCACATGCAGTGGTCTATCATTGTAAAGTATCCGTTGCTGTTCATAACAGTAGCAGGATATATATTTATACCAGTCTTTCCTCTTTCCTCCCTTCAGGGAAATGGTGGTGGTGGGAAGGAATGTAAAAGAAATGCAAATAAAAATTGAACCTCTACTTTCTCTGGTCCTACTTAGTACACTCCACCCCCAGATTAAACTACAATTTAAACTGTCACTTAAAACTGGATTAGCACAACAGCTTTATTTTAATATCCATGTTAGTTTTGCTTATTTATGCTAGGATGTCTGTGTTGCCAGCCAGATACTGTTATTTCAAGCTTGATTATGGTAATGAATGATTAATGTTTCCTGTTCTTTTTGCATTTGTGTTCCCCTACATCCCACACCTAACCAAGTATGTGCATGAAAATGTGTTAATTGAGGTAGGACTCAATTCATTTGATGAAGCATGCTGCTGGTCATGAAATATTACGCCAAATAAAATCTGTTGGCCTTTACAGTGCCACTGGACTTTGCTGTTTTTCCAGGATCCTTTTAACTGGAGGTGCTGAAGCTGAAACAAACACTTTCCGGTACAAAAATGTGTTACATACAACCAAGCTAGGGGTCCTTCTGTGAAAGTCTCTGGCTTTTCCTGAACTTTGAGTCTTCGCAAGTATTATTTGAGAAAACTTTTAATTTGTACTCACACCACAGTGCTTCTTAATTTTTTCTGTGTCAGGATAAAAATTAGGATTCCCTAGAATGACCTGTCACTGGGTTGCAAATTCACAGCTTCTGGAGAAGGTGTCGAGTAAATCTTTGCCTTTCCTTTGAGAGGTGCAATAAACAATTCTAGTGGGAGTCTCACCCTTGAAACCAGCATCTGCCTAAAATGGCTGGTGGCTGAACCATCAGACAAGTTGATATGGGAAAATGCGAATGAATAAAGCAATCCATGTTGAAGCTGCAGAGAAACTATTTACAACCACATTGTGGACCTTTTCCAAACCCTTCCTTTTCTTCAAGAAAGGAAGGAAAAATGCTAACAAAATTTTTACATTTGCTTACAGTTCTATAAGTAGTGCGGCTTTAGATGCCTCATCTAAAAAAAGAGAGAAAGAAAATCTGTCCGAAAAGGCACAGAATGGCTCATAAAATGCATACATGTTAACATATGCTCACTTGTCCCTTGAATGAATAAATCTTATCTGATTTCTAAAACTAAACAATGTTAAGGGGACCGGGAGACCATCAGGAAGTATTAGGGATCTCTAGGTAGGGCTATGAAAGAATCCAACGAGAAACTATGAAGAACTGCTGCTGGTCAGAGTTGATAATACTGGTCTACATGGACCAGTGGTCTGATTTTTTTTTAATAGCAACTTCCTATGTTCCTATAAAGAGATGCAATTTAAGTAACTGCTATAATTTAAGGAGAAGCATAACACACCTCACTGTGGAAAATGATGGGTGTGTCTGGCTCGGGTTGTTGTTGATGGTGAGAAGCACTGGTGGGCAACTTCAGAGCCTCTTTTCTCCGTTCTTAAGGTTCTTTACCTTTAAATTAGAGTTGGTCTTGACACACTTTGAAAAATACAGAATAAGCTCAACCCACTGAAATGGACTCAAGAATCCTTGGGAGTTCCTTCCAGCTCTACAAGTCTGAGGTTTTATTATTATGAGACTCTATGATAATAATGGAGTGGCTGGTAAGCCACTGCGAATGGGTTGAGTTCTGCATTCAGAGAGGTTAAGATTGATTGATTGATTGATTATTTGATTGATTGATTGATTGAATGATTGATTATTTGATTGATTGATTGATTGATTGAATGATTGATTGATTGATTGGATTTCTATCCCACCCATCTAGACCAAAGGTCTACTCTGGGCGGTTACAAATAAGATTTGTAGGCTGCATATTTATTCTAATATTCTAAAGTGTGTATTCCCCCCCCCCAAAATATGTCTTTGTTATCACCTATGTTGACTCTATTCTAAACTGTAGCTGAATATTACAAGACTTCTGCTTCTAATTCTTCATGCATTTGCATTAGATCAGGTCTACAACTCTCTTCACCACCTCCCTTTTAATCTGTGGTGTCATTAATGGTGTGAAAGCAATATAGTCACATTAATTAAGGTGTCCTTCCAGTTTATATATTGTAAAGTTAATGGATTGCTGAAGTGCTGTTTTGCCTTTCTTCTTTCTTGCTGGGCTGATCTTTCAGTGCAAGAGAGAGAAGAGGATGTGGTATCCATAGCAATATGCAGCTCACATCTTTATATAGCTCACAATAATAATTGCACTCTTATTCTTTTATATATTTTCACCATTTACATTAGCTATTACAATCCTGCTAAGTGTTTGCTATCATCCACTGACCAGCTGTATTTAAAGGTCGTACACCTTCCAGGTTTCCAGGAGGTTGCTCATATTCTGGTAAGAGGAGGTATAAATTCATGCTTTGCCAGGACTGGTAACCTGAGAAGGTCTTGACTCCAGAATCAACAGCCTCATGCTTCACAGTTACAGTCAGTGGCAATCAGCTATTAATGTAATGGATCACTGGCTGTGAATATATAAGGAGAAATCAGTCTCCTTGTGAAATAGTCTTCACAGAATGTCTAGTCCTCCCATCACATTCAATTCTGCATGTTAATTTTAGAACCTCCCTTGAACTGGGTGTCTCCCATAGACTGATAAAGATTTGATAGTTTCAAAATTGTGGAATGCTATCCAGTTGTTTCCTTCAACATGAACCTGAAGCAAAAAGTTGCACAGCTTTTCGAATTTCCAGATGCACTGTTTGATTCCAGCCACACCATTCACTCTTCCCTCACTCTCATTTCTTGTGTTTTCCTCAAATAGTCAGCTCTGGAGAGGGTGGAGTGTATCTGCATTTTTTTTTTTTGCACTTTCTGTATTTCCTGGAGTTCTCCTAATCCTGATCTCTGCCTTTTGCATGTAGGTAGTGCCATTTTGGGTGAAGAAGTGATGGTATCCAAAGTTGGACCATCAAAATTAGGAGTGACTTCTGTTTTGACCCACTTTATAGAGTTATACATTCTTCCCCTATTGCCTTTGTTTTGGTTGGCTGTTTGGACAAAACCTTTACACAGTGATTAACAGAATAATTGTAAAGATTTATTAAAATAGATAACTTCAATCAATAATTTTTAAAGTTATTTCCCAAAATATTTATATCCTATTTTTCTTAAAAAACAAAAATCCAAAACCCAAAGCAGAGAACAAAAATTTAATTATAGGTCATAATTTATGATACTGGATAAAAATAACTAAAGCTGCAATTCTATATTTAATAACACAAGAGTAAGTCTCATTGAATTCAATGGTGCAAATTTCTGATTGAACATACAGAGGATTCTGCTACAAATTACACAGCCTGAAATTCATTTTTGTTTTGTTTTGCAAAAGGCATAATATCCAGTCCTTGCTAGCAGGCAATTAATAAGCCCCCACATCAAGTCAGTAGATGTCCGCTCCCCCATGAAACCAAGTGGTGACTTGTTAGTCTGGCTAAGAATGAGTGAATTTTGTGCATCAAAATCTCCTTTGTGCCACATTGACTTTTTTCAACCACCAGTGTATAGGTTAAGAATAGAGATGGGGGGTATTTGTATATGAATATCCCTGCACAGCTGGAGTTAATGAGGGTCCGCCCCCTGGAGCCGGACCATCCACTCACGCATCTGGCAATGACAGCGGCCTCGCTCATCCTTCCAATCTCTCCCGGAGCCCCGCTCTCTTCCTGCTCGGCTAGTGACTTGGCAGGCGTGCAGGGAGACACATCTTCCCTCCCCTCGCCTGGAGTGAAATGGTCACCATAATTCAGAACTGACAACATTATATACTGCTTTAATTTCAGCTTCTCCCTGTGACTGTCACATGCCCTTCCCTTTCACATGTTGTAGTGTTGCAGTGTCACCACATAGGAGGCTTCTGTGAAGTGACAAGAGGATGTTTCGTTGTCAATAGTGATGCCATCAACCCAGATCTTTATGTACTTTTCTGACAAAGCTAGTTAGTTGGTTCCTAAGCAACCCTCTAGCACATTTACTGTTCATCTTTCTTGTTAGGCATGCACAATGAAGTCTTTTATATGCTGATGGTCTGTAGAGATTGGATTTTATTCACTGGACTGAGATAAGAATAGCTGAAATAATGGGTGAATCTGGAGTTCAGGAATCAACCAAGGCTAACAGGCTCAAACTGAACCCAGACAGAGATTTTGTTCCTGTGGGGGGGAGGGCTTGGAAAGTTTGGAGGGGATTGTCCCTAGGCTGGATGGTACTGCTCTCCTGTTTAGGGACCAAGTTCCTAATTTGGGTGTTCTTCTGGACTGGGCTCTTTCTGGGGAGATTGACTACTTCAATACATGGGGCTTCCTGTGAGGCTGATCCGGAGACTATAGTGGGTCCAGAATGTGGTGGCCAAACTGGTGGTTGGTGCAAGCAAGCTCGACAGTATCACCCTGGTTCTGGCTCATCTCCACTGGTTACCCATTACCTCCTGGATCAGGTTCAAGGTCTGGACCCATGTTAGTTGTCAGATCATCTTTCCTCAATCTCATGTGCCTGACCTACGAGGCTCCTACAGGTGGCCACCCTGAGGGAGGCCAGTAAGTTATTTACTTGAAG